TGTAAACTAAGCTTTTGTAACTAATGTAGTGGACTTAGTGCTGGAACTCTTTCAGACATTGAAAACCAAAGCACAAGATGAACAAACAGAATAAGCCTGTATTTAGCCTATTTTGTGAGATGTGTGTAAAGTGGAATTTTATTTCTCCTCTTGCCATTTTGTAAATTAATGCATAGGATTGGGGAAAGGCATGCAGCCCAGATTGCTCAGTGCGAATCCAGTTTGCTGTGACTGATGTCAGCTGTTGTGGAGTAGTGCTGCCAAGGCTTATAGGAAAAATGAAGCCTTGATGTTTTTTTATATGCATGGCAATGCCAGGAGTGACAGAAATGGAACAGCCTCACACTTCCCCCTGCCAAATCCAAGAAACGTCCAAAGAGGTTCAGCCCGAAAGTGGACATTTGAACTTCATTTTTTAGACAGTCACTACCATAAGTGGAACTGTTGTTGTATTTGCCATTCCTTTCAATGTCCCAGAAAAAGAAGGCAAAATTTTTTAATACTTGTGGCTTAAAAAAAACCAAACCAAACCCGTTGCTATCAAGTCAATTCCGATTCATAGTGACCCTATAGGACAGAGTAGAACTGCCCCATAGGGTTTCCAGGGAGGGGCTGGTGGATTTGAACTGCCAATCTTTTGGTTCGCAGCCATAGTGCTTAATTAACTGTGCCACCAGGGTGCATGACTAATCAGCCAAGTTTTTTCTACCCTATTGTCCTGCAGTTATATTCTTTAGGTGCTAGTCCTTGGTTTTCTCCTACTGGGGTACTAATAGCAGGATGGGTAGTATGAGATGCCCTCTCCATCCTCAAACTAATGGATATCCGCCAAGACATTTATTTACCTTGTTTCGTCTTCACAGTATCTCTGAGGTAGGGAGAGCTATTTTCCCCACCTTACAGGTGAGAAAACTAAGCCAAACTTTGTACAACTATTATAATAGTGGAGTTTTCCCAGGTCTCTTTGAACCATCCAGCCTACCTACCTTCCTTCCTTCCATTATGACATATTTCAGACATACGAAATAGAGAATAATATAAGGATCATCACCTAACCCACCGCATCCAGTTTAGAAAATAAAACAGCAAATCCAGCTAAAGCTTTCTCAGGAAGCTCTATTACACTATCTGCCTGTATCGCAGAGAAGTTACTAAAGAAATCCCTTGGAAAGCACTTAAACCGGATGGAATTTTAAAAAGGCTAATGACTTGGAAATTTAACATAGAATTTGAAGATGTCACAAACAAGTAGAACAGTACAGCCTTTGTCTTGATAAGCTTAGCTCTAATTGGGGATTATATAAGCAGGTTGAAAAAGGAAGGATTGTTTAAAACAGTAGAAGTGAAATATTTTGCTATGTGCTAAATACTTTGGTAGGTGGTCTGGGGAATAGAGAGACATGGTCCCTATCCTTGAGGGGAAGAAGCTTATAACGTAGTAAGCTGGGTGTTGTAGAACTTTGAAGGTATTTCCTGAAAAGATGACACATCCACATGTGGGTGGTGTGGCATGTACAGTAAAAATTAGACTAGATTTACAGTGAGTAAATTTAAGGTAATCCTGAATTACATTTTTAAAAAAAGGAAGCTATTTCCTCTTTTTTTTTTTTTTTTTTAATAAAAAAGGCTGCTCGTTAATGG